GCAGTTTTATAATTCAAGAGAAAAAAATTGCGTCCAGTTCAGATATAAACTGGTAGATCGATGCTCACAGTTTAGTATCAACAGAAAATAATTTTACCCTATACAGACGAGGGTCAAGTGAGTCGAAGCGACGAACGTTACTTGTATTTATATAGATTAAAAAAGAGATGAAACGGAGTACGGGGTTTAGAATAAGTCTGATAGAGACAAATAAATCGCATGATTGAGAACAGACACTAAAGAAATATTGTAGTATGAATCAGTTATGCACATCCAGTAAAGGTGAATCCTGAAATGGGACTCCCGTCCTAGTCGCAATCCCTGTTGCGACTGAATCGAAATCCCGATCTCGATCCTGACACAACCGAGAACGGGATCAGGATAATCCTGCCGAATCCTATCAATGACCAACCCTCGTATATACCAGTCTTGTTGCGTAAGCGTATTAAGTTAATATTATTGTCTTGATTATTCAGAGCAATCATTATCACATAAACATACGACATGGATCGGTGCTGCATATGTGAACGTCTAGCCTATCCAACGGAAAAACTTTCATATCACAATAAGGTAAGATCATCAACATATACAAAACTAATAATATTGAATCAAATCAGAATTACTCACTTCCCTTTTGAGGAAACCTAATATTGAGTAGACTTACTAATTATGCCCCGTCTCTCCACTCAAAGAAAGTCAATTTTCGTCAAAAAAGTCTGAATGAAGATAAATATATGGAAGATAGCTAAAAGTTTTCTCCCTAAGAAACTATGCCACTTTCAATTAAACACATCGTTTTCGATCAAAAGTTCTTTGTTTTGGCTCATGCTACATGCTTAATTTTTTTTGTTTGCAAGAGCATGGCAAAATGTAATGAATAACGTTGTCTTTGTTTTTGGACTTAAGCTTAGCCAATTTACATAAAAACATTTATATAAATTGGCGCGCAGTTTAATAGAGTTTCTTTTCGGTCTCTAACTGGCGGCGGCGCCAGGAATTTAGACTAGGATGGGCTCGGGCCTAATAAATTTAAGCTAGGGTGGGCTCAGCATTATATATATAAGATCTAAAACAAATTCCAGAGTGGGCTCAAGCAATTTCAGGGTGGGCTGAGCCCACCCTTGGGGCCGCCACTATCTCGAACTTTCCACTTTTTTTTCACATAAACACTGAGAATTTAGGAAAAAGGATAACGTTCGTCCCTGCATTTTGACATACGTGTCCAGACAAACAACAAAAGTGAGGCTATAGCACGAGTCGAGACAGAACTTTGAGATGTTAAATGAGCCATTTTCGATCCCTGTTTGATGAGTATCTCCCTTAAACATCATAATATAGGGCTACAATTTTTATCAGTCTCTCCACTGTAGACCAAACATATCCTGAAAAATTTCAAGCCATTTACATGTGTTTGACCTTAGATAGTTTTTGGAGTGAGAGAAGACCTTGATAGATCATATTTAATAATAGATATACCATAATGCGTGCTTCAAGTGCACTAAATGTGGCATAAAACTAAATCTGAAGACAGCGCGTAGTTTCCAGAAGCAACCCTTTTGCAGTCAGTAAGTAAAATCCTTGCAATTTGGATCTGCTTTTTTGTTGACTTTATTTACTTATTATTTAAGACATTCACCAGAAACAAATAAACAACAAGTGAATCCATCGACTGAAAATGGAATTCCGACGACAGATAATGTAAGTTTATCCAACTTTTTGTAACAGAAAATGAAAAAATATTTTAAGGAAGTCAAGTGACTACTATTGCGAAAACTAACGGATTTTTAGTTCCTGTTTAACCACAGTTTTCTCCATAAGCCCAAATGCGAAGGGCGTGGGTGTAGGAGTGAGTGTGGATGTGGGGTGGGTCTGCGTGTGGGTGAGGATGTGAATAAAAAAGATGCAGTCACACTCACCACAT